CTCTCACAGCAACACGCTCATACGCACATATATATATATATATATATGTGTGTGTGTGGTTAGCAACAAAGGATGACCAGTAAAAGAAAAGAGAAAAATGACATTTCTTTTCAATTCAGGAAAAAAATATTTCTAACCTAAACCGGTTGACCAAAAAAATTCCGCTAATGAATTGTTTATAAATGTCAGTTGGTTGTGCTGCACAAAGTACAGTCCTTCCATCAAAATGTTATCGCCTCTATCGGTGGCTAGTGTGCCACGTGTCAGGTTCTAACGTGATTGCCGCTCAAATTGAGACTGACAGGGCTGACCTACATCTGGCTGTAAAATGGGCACGGACAGTAAAGCATTTTAAGGCAATGGGCGTGAAGTGGATCTCGATATTATTGGCGAAATTTTTCTTCTCGCTTAAGGAATAATGGTTTGAGAGCAGCTTCGTACCTGTCAGTTTCAGTCCTTCTATATTTATACAAGATGGAATGACTCCTACTTTACACATCCTCACACATACACACACACATGCAGACACACACGTACAGACACACACGTACAGACACACAAACACACAATATATATATATAGAGAGAGAGATTGAGAGAGAGGGAGCGATGGAGAGAGAAAGAGAGAGCGGGCGAATGCGTGCGAAAATCTTCAGACAGCTCTACAAATTTTAAATAAGTTTTATTATTGAATATTTATTTTCGTTCAAGTTGAAAGAAATCAATTACAAAATTTTCTCGCGAAACAATGTCCCACATTTTTTTTCTGTACAACAATCGAGAATAAATTGCGTAATTATGATAATGTAAACAGATTGTGTCTACTTAAGGAGAGAGTCATGTATTTACATTGTTTTATGGATGTGTGTAATTTTCTAGTAATAAGCAGTCAGCCAACGAGAGCTGGGTTATGTCTACTACTAACATATTTGTGGGGGAAAATATTGTTGATCATTTTCCTGAGTGATCCTTAAATTTCGTAGCAGACAACAAACAACTGTTTGAAATTTGAAGGTTTTGACAGCGTTTCAGATAACTTCGCTGATTGGTTAATAAATTGGAAATTTAAATTGGAGCCTACTTTTTGCACACAAATGAGTCAGTAGAGGTGTTTAGCGATGTTACTTAAATCTATTTAATATTCATCGATTTATAATGGGGGTCAACAAAAATAACATAAAGATCAGCTATGTTAGCGTTAGAATTATCGAGAAATACATATCCCATACGAAAAATGCAACATGAAAATAGAATGAATATATCAAAACAAAAGTAGATAATAATAAAAAAAATATAACTGCTGAAATAACAGTAACTGTCACTTAAATGGCCAATGTTTGTCTAATAATAATATTTATAAAGATAACATAAACTCTGATAAAGAATAAAAATGTTATATTAGTTCAACTGAAACTGTGGGAAAATCGATGTTATAACCATAAATTAATGTTAAGTACTGACAAATACAAAATAATTATGCTGTCTCTAAATATTACTGGCAGTTAACGGAAGCTGGAATTATATAAAAAATTACGTTTGAAATAATGGTTACAACGAAATATTACAATGATAAAAGACAAAGTTATAAACTTTGACTTGTAGAAAAATTCTAAAATAATTAACTCTAATTTACTAAAAAAAAGAAATGAATTAATTAAAACATTTACACCTAAAATCAAATGCATCTTCAAATATGTTGAACCAGATTGATTTCATTTAAAGCCATATATCACCATTGCTTTATCAATTTATTTACTTTTTTCTCAGAATTAGATGCATGGCTTTATATTTACTAATTTGCATTAGTCAATTTATATTCCCTGTAAGTTTATGTTCTTTGACTATTATTGTATAAAGTGAAAATATATTAAATGCATATTATAAAACTTTATAATTGCGTGAATCATAGGTTGATGCATATGTATTTTAGCTGATGACATGTTTCTTGTTTAAATTTACAGTTTAGATATATAGTGATATATTTAATGTAACTTATATGTTAAAATGCATATCTAGATGAACACAAGTACACATCAAGTGCTCCAAACCAACTGCAATCTTCAGCTAAGCACCGAAGATTGCAGCTGGTCTGAATACGGATACATTTATGCACATGTTCAAGTATGTGTATATGTGCATGTTTATATTTGTAGGTGGAGGTAATATATATATATATATATATATATATATATATATATATATATATATATATATATATATATATAATATAGTGGTAAATATACACATACATATGAGAAATAAATATATATACATACATACATACACACACATACATATATATTTGTATAAAAAAAATAATTCCAAGAGGATAGAATACAGGTAGAACTCAATGTCCAGGACAGAGTAAGGATATAATAAAAAGACTCAAAAAAATTGAATTTGTAGGTCTGATGATTTGGATCCTATTTACAATTCCAATGGAATAAATTATGACCATGGAATATTAGAGTTTAAGCCTATTTATGATATATATATATATATATATATATATATATATATATATATATATATATATATATATATATATTTTGCTATAATTGTATATATAAATAGTATTTAGAAAAAATATGATTAACTGGAAAATTTTTGGAACGCGTTTAATGCGTTAGGATTTCATCGGAATTTGCTTTGCTGACGTTGCCACGGCTGCAGATGGGCACAAAACGGAAGACACTGTTAGTTTCCAAATTTTTAAAACAAATTTTTTTTTGAAAAAATATTTTTTTCATATATATATATATATATATATATATATATATATGTGTGTGTGTGTGTGTGTGTGTGTGTGTGTGTGTGTGTGTGTGTGTGTGTGTGTGTGTGTGCATTTGGATATTTCCTTACCTGTGTGTAGGTATTTATATAGTTTCTATATAGCGAGCATATTGATATGGAGATGGTTATACATACATCTTTGTGCACCTTGGTATATTATCTATTAGATGTGTATATTTGTTTAGAATTAAAATTATATTTTTGAAGTTGGACGGATGTATGTGTTTTGTATATGTGAATATATTATTTTGTTGTATTATTTTATATTTATTTGTATTTAATTCTTCCCTTCCCCATATTTAAATAGTCTGCTCCATTATAATTATAGTAAGTTATGTGTAAAAAATTTCACATTGAGTATATCAGTAAAAAGACAATATGCATAAAGACACGTTTCGTCTTCTGAGACACATATATTTACCTTGATAAAATCACTCAGGGAACGAAACGCGTCGGCAAATATAAATTTTCCTTTTATTTTCATTCATAGTAAGTAATTATACATACATACATATATATATATATATATATATATATATATATATATATATATATATTTTAATTGATTTAAAATATGCTTTTTTCACTAAACAGTTCTAACCATGTTTAAAAATGGAAGCTAAAAGCTCCGAATTTAATTTCAATTGGGAGCTTTAAGCTTCCATTTTTGAAACATGGTTAGAACTGTGTAGCGAAAAAACATATTTTAAATCAATTAAATTATAATATTAATGCTCCGTAAATTTACATTGAGCACTATTTTGTAAAAAAAAAAATATCTATAAGAACACTGGATTATATATCTTACTGTTTTTTCTTCATATATATATATATATATATATATATATATATATATATAAATTCTGCAATAGGGAGTTTCAATAAGCACACAAGAATTGTGTTGCCCTGCATGTAATGCCATAAAGAAGAGCTGATACTACATAACAGTTTACACTGTCTTACTGATCCGTCTATAATCCATTCATTAATTCTAAATTAATAACGTTCATGATTATTGGTGGATCTGATGAAGCAGGACCGACTGAGAAAAATGCGAGCATTCAGTCATTGTCAATATGTTGATGAATTTTTTGACTGTGGAGAAAATCATCGCGGATGACCCCGTCGGAATATACCTGATTCAATCATTGTGGGTGACATTCAGTTGAGGATGACAAAACTATTTAAAACAAGTCTAGCCAAAAGTCGAAAGTCATCGGAACGGAGATTTTTTGTGTACTGGATTTGTTCAACTTCTCTTCATAACAGCTTATACATTCTCTCCCAGAAAATATAACGTCCGATTAATTAGATTATAAACCATTAAGTTTCTTAAGAACAAAAACGTTCTGAGCACATCTCTACAACCTCCCTTGTAGACTACGTAGCAAGCATCTTTTTGCCTCCTGCATAATCTCTTGAAACTCGAGGTTTCCTTATGGCTAATCCATGCACAATTGTTATTGTTCTGTTGTTTGATGGTTAAAATTGTAGTTTATTTTAGAAGTTACCCGTTAGGAATATAGATTTTCAAGCTAAGGAAGAAAGTCTGTTCATTCGCAAATTCGGTATGTTCATGTACGTAGAAAATCAGAAATTTTCGCATAATGTACGTATGTACTATGTTTAGATGAATCTCATAGTGGTAATGTCTTTCACACAGAGTATTCGCTTCACGCAAAGGCTTCCTTCCGACATTAACTGCTCGAAGACGCCTGCTGAAACGGACTTCAACCTTCATTGACAAAAAAATTCTTCCTTCCTTCCTGTAGTGTTGCGTATGTTTTATCTGTTTTCTTCTTTTATGCTGATCTTACCATTTCTTTGTAGACTTGCGAAATCTCTTTCAAATTCGGTTAACTGATTATTATCCAAAAGAATCTCATCTTTCTTTACAGAAACTGTTTTATTCCTTCTCTGATTTCTCTGTTTTTTTTTTTTATATCTTTCTTGCTTTGACTGTGAGTACTTTTCTGTGGAGTTTTCCTTCTTGCCTTTTCTTTCTTTTACTTTCTTTATTTCTATCACAGAGACATTTTTTTCTGTCTCTTTCGGCTGTTTTTATTGTCTTTTTCTTTCTTTCACTGATAAACATTTGACTTTGAAGTCTTTCTCTTTGTTATCTATGTCTTTTTTCGATTCCCATCTTCATTTTACTTTATTTTTCGTCTCTTTCACTCAGAGATAATTATTTTGGAGTTTTCCTTTATGCTGCCTCTTTCTTTCTTGCTTTTTTTCTTCTGTCTTTGGGAATCTTTGTCTTTGCGGTTTTTATTTTGTCCACTCTTTCCTTCTTTCTTTGTTTCTTTCTTTCTTTATTTCTGTTGCTGTAACTACCATGACTGTCATTATGTCCTGTGTTTTTTTCTTTGTTTGTTTGTTTGTTTGTTTGTTTGTTTGTTTCTTTCTTTCTTTCTTTTTTAGAGAGTTTTTTTTCTGTTTCTACCGGCTGTTTTTATTTTATTTTCTCTCGTTTCATTGATAAACCGTTGATCTTGGATTTTTCCTTCATGTCGTCTGTTTTTTTTTCTTCCAATCTACATTTTTGTCCCTATCACTCAGATATTTTTTCTTCTATTTGCGATATGTTTTAATTTTCATCCTTTCTTTCTTTTTCTTTTTCTTTCTTTCGGTCTGTTTTTTGGTTCTTTTTTTCTTTCTCCATTTGAGCATATTATTTCTGTGGATTGTTCCTTATTGCTATTTTTTCTTTCAGCTTTAATTTTATTTTTCTTTCTTTCTATCACTGATGTTTTTTTGTTTTTTTTTGCTTGCTCTGATTTTTGCCAGTTTCTTGTACATTTCTTTCTTTAAATAGGATTTTCTTTTGATGTGTTTCTTCTTGCTAAATATTACTGTGAATTCTTTTATCTTATTTCTTTGGTATTGTTGTTCTTTTTTGGAGTTCTACTACATGCATTTTTCCTATTTCTTCTATTATTTCTTTCTTCATTAATTCATTTTAACATTCTTTACTTCTTCCTTCTTTCTTTCGTTCTTTCTTTCACCGATTGCATTTTTCTTTCTATTTCTTTCTATCTTCGCCATCTTTTGTTGCTTTCACTGAGAAAATTCTCTTTTTTTCTCGTAATCTGTTTCTCTCCGCGTTTTTTTTAATATAAATTGTGTCAACGCACTGACTAATTCTTTGGTTGATAGATTTGTTTTTGTACGGCTTAGTAACCTTTTGCAGGTGATTTAAAGTCATAATCTTTTTAGATAGTAATAATGATTTGATGATAATGATAAGGGTTTACTGACACATGCCTTACTAATGAAGCCATACGTGGAGGTTAGAGGCGGAATCATGCATTTACCAAGAATATTTGCATGGAAGTGATTGTAATAAAGAATCCGATTGAACTCGGCTCTGCTAGCACCAATTCTGAGCTGTTATACATTACTTCACCCCCACTTCCAAAGCTTACAGCACGTGGTATCTCCAAGAGGTCACCCATCTAGGTACTAAACATGCTCGACGTTGTTTAAATTCGATGATCAAATGAGTACCGGCGTTTCAAAGTGATAATTCATAATCTTGCATCTATCATTGCATTTTCAACTTCTTTTCGTATATATATATATATATATATATATATATATATATATATATATTGTGTGTGTGTGTGTATACATTTGTGCAGCAACTGTTCTTCTACACAAGTTTTCTTAAATATGTCTGATAAATTACTGTGCTTAAGTTATTTTATTTTTTTCTGATCTTAGAATTATGTTTTTCTTCTTGGCATAACGTACCGTATTTTCCGGCTTACAAGACGCACTTTTTTGTCCATTCTTTCTTTCTTTCTTTCTTTCGCACTGAAAATAATACGTGTGCGTCTTCCAAAACGAATATAACGCAACGCCCACGCTCAAGTAAGCTTGGACGACACCTAATTGACTGACTTATAGGGACGTGGATTAGTATACGTGGCGCCAGTATGTGCGGTACGTATTGGTGTATGTGTTGTATGGGTTGTATGAGAATTACTTTTACTTCTTAGAAATTTCTTTCCAATATTAGGTGCGTCTTCCAAGCCGCAGCGTCTTGTAAACCAGAAAGTACGGTATATATAAATTGTTCGAATGTTCTGTATTTCCGAGCGCTTTCAGCTATTCTTTTAGCCATTATCAAGGATGATTTTATTTTTTTTACTTTTTATGTATGTATCAGGAGTTATAGCAATGTTTTTTTTGTTTTTTTTTCCAAACGCAGTTAGCATAATGTGGTTGTGTCCATATTGAATATATTAAGTGTATGTTTTTTTTTATTTATAATCCGTCCATTATTTATTTTTAGCCTGTTTTACCTGTACATGAAACGATTCTATTCGTAATGTCAACGAGTCTGTTTCTTATGGAGTTTGGTATTTCTCCATTTGTATTTAAATGACACCTAATTGAGGTATTGTCCGATAATGGCTACAAATTGTCTGAATATTCTATATTTCTGGGCTCTTTTGGCAACAGCCAAAAGAGCTCAGAAATATAGAACATTCAGACAATTTGTAGATACTTTATTTCCAGAAAAGAAACGAATTGCAATAATACAAGAAAAATTAAATAAAAATAAAACTTAACAACAATACCTTGTGAGCCGTTTTTGTGAGCTATTTATCTAATTCAGTCTTTTATATGATGTAACTTCAGCAATTAGTTCTTACATGTATTTTCAAGATTATAAACCTTCCTGGAGCCGATCCACAACCTTAAACATGTTCTCTTTACTAGTAGTGGTGCAGCCTTTCTGCTCTTGATCATGATGGTGTAGGTTTGCTCACAGTTTTATGTCATTAAAGTATCAGTTGTCACAAAGCTGTCACAGGTATCACCATCTTTTTTTGTCCTGTAAATTATTACCCATGGCGAGTGCATCAAAACGATGTAAAATCACCCTTGGACAACGAATGATGTATAGTACATTTACTAACCACTTAGTATGCTAATGTCATACAAAGAAAATCGGACGAGTGAATAATGTAAACAATACGTGGTGAAGGATGCATGGTGAATGTGTTGTTGTATGGGAATAACATTTTTTCTTAGAAATTTCTTTCCAATATTAAGGTAGGCCGCAGCGTATTGTATGCCGGAAAATAAGAGATGTAGAAATTCTTCGAATGTTTAAAAATAAACTTTAACCACAATACACTGATATAGAACACTTTATACCATAAATATATCATAGATTTAAAGTATATACATATATATATATATATATATATATGCCTGATTGAACAAATTACAGAAATTAAATCTGCTAATTCTTAATAAAATCCGTTCTTTTATTTTTCATTTCACAAGTACTTTCGATCTTCTTCGAAGAGCATCTTCAGAGGTGCGAGTATTACAAAACTATATGTTGATCATTAGTACAAGTATTTATACAAAGCCGTGCGTCATTTTCCATTACCGTATTTTTTTTTCATTATATTTTTAAATGCAAAACAGTTAACAATGTGCTGAGCGTACATTAAACATCTTTTTTATGTTATAATGCCATGGTCCTGCGTGGATTAAAGGGTGAAAAAACGTTTCCTATACAGGCATTTCAGAATATCACTGCAGTATTCATAGTTAATTCTGTTCAGCACCCGCTTTAATTTTTTTTATATAAATTGCTTCTAGTATCTGTAAACTGAATTTGGTGTTTTCATGGTGTAGGATATTTGTGTTATCGATAAACTATATGGGAAATGAAAATAAAAAATTTAAACAGCTATAGCACATTTCTTTCATCCTTTAACATCAATACACGGAACGTTAGTCGTGAGTATGAACGAAATTTGTTAAAAAATAGCAGTCTTAATGTCTATAATTTATTCAATCAGACATGTCTAAAATGGAATTTACTGCCTAAATACACACACACAGAGACACACGCACACACACACACACATATTTATATACTATAAGAAAGGGTTTTATGGAATGGTAATGGTATTAGGAATCCATGAAAATGTCAACAGAATTAATTCGAATAAACCGAAACAGGACAGAATAAAAATACATCTAGATGAAAAGAGAAGGAACATTTATAAAGAGACTCAGAACTCACATTTTCACAAAGGTTTTCAAGCCATTCTATTCTGGAAAAAATGGCTCGTCGTAAGTTGACATCGCTTAAAAGTGCAAATATCTTTGTGATTTTCTTTCTATTGTTTTCTCTATTCCTGTCCCGGTGACATTGGGAAGTCAAACGTATAATGAAAGAAAGAAGTACCTACTGATCCAGTTACAGGAAGGTCGAGGAACAATGTTTTATTTTAATTCTTTATTTTAATTTGATGTCGAAGATGCCTTCATGACGTCTGAAAAAGTCCCCGAAAATTTTATCCTCTTCTAAGGAATATTTGAATGTTTCTATCGTGTTCCATACTGCATCTTGAGAAAAAGTCGCCTCTTTTTCAATATTTTCTTGTTGTGTATTACTCGCTATTTTTACAATAAGCTCCTGGAGTTGTAATTGTCTTTCTTCATTTTGCATTTGTCTTTCTTGATTTTCCTTCTGCGTTAGTAGTAATATTTTTTCCATTCATTCTTGGAATTGTAATTGCTGTTCATTTTGGTATTTTACATGTTCTACTAAAATACTTTTAAAATCCTCCCTAGTAAGAGTCATACGAAAAATCTCGATTTTCTGTATTTTAATCCTCGTAACTCTTTGTTACCCAGTTGTTGTGGATACTGGCAAAACAGCAATTTTCTCTTTTGAGTCTCCTAGAAATGCAATTTTTTGTCGCCCAAGCTGTTGTGGTGAGAAGAGAGAATTTTCTTTATTTCCGTGTAGGTCCCAATTTCTCGACACCAAGGTGTTGTGGTCGGCAAGGGAGAATTTTTCTTTGTACTCTTTCTGTGTGAGTTCGAATTTTCTCGTCGTCAAAGTTGTTGTGGTCGACGAGAGAGAATTTTTTTTTCTCCTTCCGTGTGAGTTCGAAGTCCTCGTCGCCAATTTGACGAGGGAGAATTTTATCTTTTTTGTTCTTCCCGTGGGAGTTCGATATCCTCGTCGCCAAGTTGTTGTAGATTCCGGGATGAAATCCGGTACCAATAAATAACAAACGCCAAGAATGAATATATGAAAATAATGTATTAACGTAATAATACAAACTGATAATGCAGGTTAGTAGCTCCAGGAATGCGTGTTAGTAGCAAAATATATATACTGTTTTTTGTATTGAAGTATCGCTGTATGACTTCTTACTGAGTCTACGTGCTCGCTCACTGTGACTCTTACAACGCTGTTACCTCACCCTCACTCTTCCGGTTACCTACAACCTTTTACTCTGTACTCGATTCGTCTCTTTGGCCCTGCTCTCGTCTTACTCTCGTCTTACTCTCGTGTCTTCCCGTAGCAGTAGTATATGTATATACTGGGTGAGTCCATTTGTGTCAAAAGGGGTGGTCCCCTCAGCAGATAGATTAAAAAATATTCTGGTTATTGTTATATGATATTTATTTAACATACAATTTTTTTTATTATTTGTCCCCGAGAAAGACAATAAAGCCACTAAAATTCAAGGAGTTACTGAGTGACATTTCAACCAATTCAAAGGTAAAATAATAAAACCTCACCACCAATCTGGTACTGCGCTTACATTAATAAAGTTTAGGTACCACCGAGGAAAGAAACATTTATTTTCAGAAAACAAAAATGTTGCACAATGCCAAAAGTGGGGATGGGAGAAAGCTGGGATTCAATCTGTCTTATCTTAAACTAGCAGCCATACCCATCTGGTCGATCAGAAAAAGCGTTCAATTAGAATGGAGCAAAAATAGCATCATGTTTAGATCTTCAATTACTTTAAAGCACTTTGATTAAAAAAATCATTTTGTATTAATGCAGTTACTGATATAATAGATGTAATCTGTATTTATACAATCGAATTTAGCCGAGGGCATGAAGAGATCAAACAGGAAACATGAAGACTCACTTCAGAAACACTATTATTTTAGAGTTTTTGAAATTCAATTTGTCAGTGTGGTACCAGGGATGTAAAATAGGATACATTTATGAAGCAATTGTTAAGCTTGGTGAAAAATGGTTGAAATTTCAACGAAAATCAAGAAAGAAACCAGTAAAAATCGCCATTTTTCGCTATTTACGCGGTTTTTTACTATATGGGTGGGCCCAATTATCAAGTTAAATGATTGTTAAACAATCAACTTGTTGTTGGCTACAATTGAGTGAAGTTTGTATTAGATTTCTTGAAAATTGAGGGAGTTTTTAGTTTAAAATTTGTGTTTTCAACACAAATCGATTTTTCGTTTTTCGCGAGTTTTCGCTAAACGCAGTGGTGTAGAAGTAATAATGAGGTATCGTTGAGCTCTTCATGATATAATTAACCTACATACCGAGTATGAACGAAATCGGAGGAAAAAAGTTGATTTTTATTTTATTTTTGATCGGCTTTATCGATTATTGATTATTTTTAAAAATTATCGATTTTACGCTAAAAACCTATCTCTTACATTGTACAATGTATGTGCCAAGTTTGGTCAAAATCGATTGGATGGATCT